CCAAGCCCTCTTCTGACCTCTGAGGCATTGCACGACACGGGTGCACTCACATACATGCAGCCAATACACTCATACACATGAAATGAAAATATTTTTTAAAATGCTATTCAGAACTATTTTCCCTGGTTGCCAAACCATGGAATGCTTAATTCAGAATCTTGGGGAAAAAAGGTGAACAACAAGGCTACTAGTTAAGTCCCCAGCGTGGTGGCACACATCTTTAATCAAAGCACTTGAGAGTCAGAGGCAGGCGGATCTTTGTGAGTTTGAGGCCAGCCTGGTCTACCATAGTGAGTTTCAGGACAGCTGGGGCTACAAGGAGACCCTGTCTTAAAAAAAATATATTAATTTTATGTGTATGAGTGTACTGCGTGCATGTGTTTAAGTGTATCTGTGTCATAGCAATGTCCACGGAAGTCAGAAGAGGATCCCCTGAAACTGGAGCTATAAACAGTTGTTGGCCTCCATGTGGGTATGGAGAATCAAACCCCGGTCCTCTGCAAGAGCAGCCAGTGCTCTTTACCACTGAGTCATCTCTCCAACCTCCGGGCTTCCTTTTTGATTCCACAGACCAGCAGTATAGTGGGAATTGGTCATGACACTGATTTGTTGAATATGAATAATGAGATAATACCATTATTGTTCTTGGTGACTAATTTTATTGATGCTATAAATTTTCTAATTCTCTAATAAAACTTAAAAAAAGGACCCACTCCTGAAAATTGTCCTCTGACCACCACATACATGCTGTGGCATGTACTACCCTGCCCCCTGAAAATAAATATGTCATTAAAAAAGGGGAGGAAGGGACAATTGAGTAAGATACCTGATGTCAACCTTTGGCCTCCACATACATGTATGTATACACACATGAATGAACACACACATACATATGAAAGGTCTATGGCTTATATGCTTGCCAAATTAAATAAAATAAAGTCCTACATTTCATTTTGGAGAAGAATTATCACCTAGCCATTAAAATGGTAGCACAAAGTTTTACTGCAAAATTCACAGGCAAGAGTTCTCACAACCATCATCAGCTCACAGACACCACTGCTTTTACTGTGTTTACAGACTCAGTATGTATCTGCCATGGGGAATGCACTTCCAGAATCAACTTCAAAAGCTCCCAGCTAGGAACGTGGCTCAGTAGTACAGAACACTTGTCTAGCATGCACAAAGCCCTGGGTTCTGTCCCTAGCACCATCTCAAGAAAAGAAACCAAAAAAAGAGGCAAAAAGCATAGCAACTGCTCTTCAGTAACCTTCTATATACAAAAATAGTAAAGAAGTTTCTCTTCACCTAAGAAATGTTCTGATAATGTGCTAATATACCAATATTTGGGGGAAAACTACCATTATTTTCCCTATACTAAAACCTGGGATTTACTTTATCTTCATTTAGTTAACAGCCATTTTCTTTCTTTCTCCTTTTTCTTTCCTCTGATTAACGACCCAAGAAATATCTCCTATAACTTTATTAAAGCATTTTACATGCATGTTTCTGGTCTTTACCATGATAACTTTTTTTTTTTTTTTGGTCTTTGAGACAGGGTCTCCCTGGCCTTGAACTCAGAGAGATCTGTCTGCCTCTGCCTCCCAAGTGCTGGGATTGTAGGCATGCACCACCACACCCAGCTTATCGTGATCACTTTTAAGGCAGGATGACATTTCATTCTGAAGTAACCCTGGATATTAGTCTTTCTGATTTTTTTCGATTGAACTATCAATGTCACAAACCATCCTGAGTATTTTTGTTTATTTCTTTTTGGTGCTGGGGTTTGAACCTGTAATTTTGAGCATACTAGGCACGCACTCTCCCACTAGGCATATCTTCCCTACATTAGACTTTCTATAACACCCAGACTTTCATAAACAGAATTACCAAATTAAACACAATATTTTTATGGCTCTTGGTACATGCTACCACATTGTTTTTCAAAAGGCAGCCTTCACAATTTTACAAACTTACATCTTTTTTTTTTCTTTCTTTTTGAGGCAGGGTCTCCCTGTAGCCTCAGTTGTCCTGGAACTGACTATGTAGACCAGGCTGGCTCCAACTCACAAAGATCTGTCTGCCTCTGCCTCCCAAGTGCTAGGATTAAAGACGTGCACCACCACACCCAGCTTGCAAACGTACATCTTTTTAATACAAATAATTAATTTAAAAAAAAATCTCAAGGGACTGGAGAGATGGCTCAGCAGTTAAGAGCACTGACTGCTCTTGCAAAGGACCCGGGTTTGAGTTCCAGCACCCACATGGCGGCTAACAACCGTTTGTAGCTTCAGTTCCAGAGGATCCGACACCCTCTTCTGATCTCATCGGGCATTGCACGATATGGGTGCACCTATCTACAAGCAAGCAATACACCCATACACATTAAAAAAAAAAAAAAACCAAAAAACTCAAAAGCCTTTTATTAATCAAGAGCAAATCACTTAATACTAATCCACCTGAAAATGGATAGAAGCAGCAACAAGAGTAATAGAGAGTTAATATTTATTATTTATGCCAAACACTGTTAACAGGTTTTTAATTTTTAGATTTTTAAAAAACTTGCATTTACATTAAAAAATATTTTTTAGCCGGGTGTGGTGGCACACACCTTTAATCCCAGCACTTGGGAGGCAGAGGCAGATCTTTGAGTTTGAGGCCAGCCTGGTCTACATAGAGTTCCAGGACAGCTGGGGCTACAGGGAGACCCTGTCTCAAAAAGACCAAAAAAAATTTTTTTTTAATTATTTTTATTTTATGTGTATGTGTGTATTGCCTGCATGTAGGGAAGTGCACCTGTGTTGTGCACCACGGAAGTCAGAAGAGGCCGTCAGATCCCCTTGGACTGGAGTTACAGACAGTTGTTAGCTGCCATGTGGGTGCTGGGATTCAAACCCAGATCTTCTGCAAGAA